CACCAAGTTTCCGTCAAAGTCTTAAAACGAAGAAAAAAGATCTCACAGAAGCTGGTGTTACTTTAAACAACAGAGAAATTGTTGAAAAGTGTCTTGAATTCTAGTAAATCATTAATTAGACCTGAAAATCCAGTGTTAAACAGATTTCTAGTTGGATTTTATTCGTTCTCTTAGACCGCTGTTCCGATGTTTACTTTTATAAAACTTCCGGTGATGACATTTTTACCACGTGGTTTTTATCTTTGTTTATTGAACTTACTGGGCTGATATGAAGTTTGATAACAAGAATCAACACACAACCGTATCGAGTTCTACGCTGAGATTATTGACAAACTAGTTTCTCCTGCATTATATCACCTATATTGAGAAATGGGTGGAAATTCTAAACAATTTCAGCTTTCTTAATTTATTAATTCATTGGATATACTCCCGATGTTTGTGATATATAGCTGATGTAAATACGCCTATTTAGTTCTTGGTAATTAACGACCTCAAGAACAGTCAACGAAGCCAAACAAAATAGTTATTCAGTTAATTAAAGATAGTACAATGATAAAACTAACAGGTAGCGGCATAAGTGTATCAGCCATATCGGCATGTAATTACAGTAATTTTCATTTGACTTTTACAGTAACTGAGTACGGAACAAGACCAATCGAATTGGCGAGATGTAGACAAAACAATAAATACGAATCCCTGTGTTACTGAATCATTCTATCAATCCAACATTTACATGAGCTGGATTACATTAGTGTATCATCATCAAGCCCTTTTTGGAACCCATTGTCGATACATTTCCATCACATAGACCAACTCAGAATTTTTCGGTACAAATCTATGAGGAAACAAATGACATACCGTGATCTGACTGCATGTTATCTGTTATGTATTTAGATCGAAATTTTACGATCAATCACTGAAAGTTCTCAAGGTTATCGACAATATCTAACGTTATTATTGTCGATTACGATACAGCATACAGCACACACACACACGTAACAGAAGTGGTTTCTGAACAATTTATTCATCGCTTTATAACTCGAAATGCATGACGTTATTGTGCGATCTCAAGTTTATGATTTCGAGAGGTACACTGAAATTTCGTTTTAGATCAAGAATCATGAGTTTAGGTAGAACCATAATTCACGGACAACTTTGGTGCAACCCTGAACCGATCGTAAGAGTGGTAACCTACGAATAAGGACTAAACAAGGGTTGCAAAGCAGTTAGAATTCTTATTTACGGTTGATGGTTAGGGTTAAAAATTACATTTAAGGTTTTCATCACGAACTGACATCATCTATAGTGCCAAACCTCTATTCAGCCAAATTTATCGATCCATTTCACGCCTAAATTTTTAACTTGCTATTTTATAGCTGATCGGTTCGTCCATAGACTATAGTCTAGCACAAGTTGAATTATCATGTGTTAGGCGACATAAGTTTCACAATGAGGTTATCGTTGTGGTATTGAATACAAAAAATTGATTGTGATTTTAAAAATACTTCTTTATTAATCTGCAACAATTAAAAATAAAAAATAAACCTTACAAAAACGAAGCAAGCGAAAAATAACGTGGCAAACAATCAACGCGCCAAGAGTTAATAGTAAAACTAAAGCTTTGTGATCGGTAATAACAAGTTCAAGGGCAAACTGTTATTCAAATTTTATACAAGTCTTTAGGTATGTTTACTTCCTGCAATCAGCAAATTCAATGTTTATTTTCAATTTTAGATGAAAATGTAATTTTAAGTAGTTACTTGTATTTGCGCAGTTTTCAGTTATAAAGGTAGTAGGTTAGTGAATCTATATTAATCCTGTCATATTACCTTTCAGTGAGGTCCGGCTTCTCCTTGAAAATATTTACTGATGGGGCTGATACCACTTGTTCATGCACGGCGTTCCTGTCATTGACTAGTCGATGAAAAAACTGGACCTTACTTTAAGTTTATTAGATCGCGTTTTGTGAACCTTCTGGCTATGACCTCAGAGATTATTAGTACTATGAGAAGCAGAAAGAAAAGGCATATTAACACCCAACTCATCATTAAAGGTACGAATTATCAGTATAAGGTCACCTCGCATCCTACTGTATAGGTAAATAAATCCCCAAAATAAATAGCTCTGTAGGTTTTCGACCACAAAAAATAACATCAGCACTAAGTTAATGTGAGTTTCTTCCTGTTTATTCATTATTAACTTTTTACTTCTATGTACACTAGGTTGACTATCATTTAATATTATTTCGTCACTCTTTACCTTATTTACAACTCATATACTTCTATACTTTTCCGCCTGCTTTAATAAACAACTATCCTACATTATACCTTTCTTAATGCCTATACTCTGATTGGCAAACTATACTATAATATAGTCAACAGAAGCACTGCATCGATGCCTTATCCACAGTTCGTAACCTGTAACTGCCTGATAAGCTTGTAAAATGGTACTTTTAGAAATAGTGCTTTCCAACAGGATGAGAAACACAGAGGATTGTGTGAGGTATGACGTATATACAAAAATAAGCTTAAATGAGCCTAACATCACAAAAGGAGGGAGGGCGGAGTTACTGACCAGCAAGCACTGTCAGTGAGGGCGATAACTTCAATCCACCCGTGTTTGTGGGTGCAGAACTCTTTGAAGGTATCAAGCTCTTTATGATTGAGAATAAGTCAATCAATCTTTGATATAGATTGTCTTCCTACGCTCACCACTCAGACTCACGTTTCCAATATTATGCTGGATTAGCTATTCTACTAAGACAACCTATAACATGCTAACTCGGACTTTTACACTAGGATTGTGTGGCTGGCATCGGATGGACAAAAAAAGAAAGAAAGAAATTAGACAACAAAAGATATAGTCATTATTATTCTTAACACTTCATCCTCTATACACACACCCTTCTAATAAACCGCTTTCCTCGTACCAGCCTTGATTTCCTTTCCTTCAAGTGGGCTTACTCCAAATTGTTAAACGACACAACTCATTACTTCATTCTCTAATATGTAGCCTCTCACTTGATGTCACTCCAACCAGAGATAATATGAACTTAATCCAATTTATTATACCTCTGTTTGTTCTACTACAGACTATTGTAGCGTTAGAGAAATCCCTAAAATAAATAGCTCTGTACGTTTTTGACATTGGATGTTGACCACATTAGTTTTAATGGACTCACCTGACTGAAGGAGCTCGGTCGTGCATCCACACCAGCTCACGAGCTCGAACGCCGTGCTCAACAACCCCTGCAACCTCCAGACAGTTTAGGACAGACGACCTCGGTGTACTGATAGCCTATCAAATATATCTTCGAACCTCCTCGCTCCTGTCTTTTGATTTCATTTGGTGGGTGCGCTTCATATTAAAAAGTGTAACTGGGTAAAGGGTCGTCAAAATCCGAATACCAGTGGCATTTTCAATGTTTAGCGACGTTTGACGTTCATATTCAAGTGCCTTGCTGCCCTTCTGTTTCTTTTTTCTTTCTTCAGAATCTTCCTCTGAGGGCAGAGCTATGGAACTTCTGACGTCCGGAAGAAACTTGACGTACGCGTCCCCTCAAAATCATAGCTAACAGCAAGGGCTCTACGAGTCTACTTTATAACAACTGTATACTTAATAAGTTGGGAAGCATGCCGTGAACCAACAAATTTTGTAATTTGTAGATCATGCCAGTAAAAATGGCGTTACACGCTCATGCAGAGATTTATCATCATTATTAATACTATCCCGTTTCTAGACTTAATTATACAACGTGCTACCTTACATCTACGACTAACATGCGCCTCGATATGATTGGTTGTATACGAAAGTGATCCCTAAGGTATAACATTCTGCCTCCTCCCTCGAGACTTAAAACTCTATCACTTCTAATACAGATGTAGCGTGCGATGGTGTGAGAACAGTCTACATCTACGGCGAGCCAAGTTTCTGTGACAACAATTATATCAGGACTTAATTCATCCACCCTAAAACTTAACTCAGACGTTTTTTTCCAAAGACTACTGAAGTTCGTGTAGCACACATTTAAGGTGTTTCGGGAATCATTTATTCTACCCATAGTGGTCTCGGAAGCATTGGCTGCCATGACCTGACCACACGAAAACTCCTAATCGTAAGATTCGTCCCTTTAGTGGCAAATGAATCTCAAAGTCAGTAGTTATGTAGGTCATCGACATTTGATGCTGACCATATTATTCTAACGAACCCACCTATGTGAAGGCGCCCGGTCTCACATCCGCATCAGATCATGAGTGGGAATGCTGTTCTCCGATAAGCACCAGCCGTCTTAAATTCGATAGACTATCAAATATATCGTCGAACCTCTTCGCTTCTGACTTCTGGTTTGACTGGGTTGGCAAACTTCGATTAGAGATGTTACTGGTTATTGTGATGCTAAACTCTGAATACTTTTTGCATCTTAAAGCACAAATGAGTTCATTTGATTAAAAGCAGTTCCTCTGAACATCTGGAGGCCTGACGCAAAATATAAATCCGATAGCGTAACTTTATAACAATATGATGCAAAGATCTCATGTAATTTGGAACTATGTAGGAGGCTGTAATAACACTCTTAAACTTAAGTCACAAGTAATAGTCAGTAAAGCATGAGATCAGAATATTAAGACAGTTTATTTGAATAATAAGAGTAGTATAGGAATCGATGATGTCCGTTTTACATTTTGTACCGATGAACTTTAAGTGTCGAAATAAAAGACGAAAATGGTTTTTATTTTAGTCGTTGCGAAGCTTTTGAATGTACACGTCACTATGAGTCAGAAGACTCAAAAAGCCTCAGAAAAAGCCGAAAAGTTAGTAATCAGTACATTTCTACAATTACGAGTGGAAAAAATCTGTCGCTTGGTATCTTCTCTAGGTGCTTGAAGTATACGTTTTTCAGGTGAGCACTTTACGTGAAAATCTCCTGTCCATGTATTGTTAGGCGAAACTACAATTTGTGGACGAACCAATCAGATCTGAGATAACAGGTCTCGGGTTTTAGCGCGAATTTCAAACACTTCATCGTCTAAATACTATTTTGGCATTATAGCTGATGTCAGTTCGTGATGAAAACCCGAAGAAAAATTCCTAACTCTAACCATCAACTGTAAATCATAATTCTAATTACTCACACAGGTTTATAACCCTTATCTAGTCCTAGTTAGTAGGTTGACATTTTCAAGGTCACTTTAACCTTGCTCAAAGGACAACCATTAATTACCGTATCACGTATAACATGCATTCATATCTCAGTATGTCTTTTGATTCCTCATAGATTTGTACCGAAAAATTCTGAGTTGGTCTATGTGATGGTAATGTATCGACAATGGGTTCCAAAAAGGGCTTGATGATGATACACTAATGTAATCCAGCTCACGTAAATAAGAATTCTAACTGCTTTGCAACCCTTGTTTAGTCCTTATTCGTAGGTTACCACTCTTACGATCGGTTCAGGGTTGCACCAAAGTTGTCCGTGAATTATGGTTCTACCTAAACTCATGATTCTTGATCTAAAACGAAATTTCAGTGTACCTCTCGAAATCATAAACTTGAGATCGCACAATAACGTCATGCATTTCGAGTTATAAAGCGATGAATAAATTGTTCAGAAACCACTTCTGTTACGTGTGTGTGTGTGCTGTATGCTGTATCGTAATCGACAATAATAACGTTAGATATTGTCGATAACCTTGAGAACTTTCAGTGATTGATCGTAAAATTTCGATCTAAATACATAACAGATAACATGCAGTCAGATCACGGTATGTCATTTGTTTCCTCATAGATTTGTACCGAAAAATTCTGAGTTGGTCTATGTGATGGAAATGTATCGACAATGGGTTCCAAAAAGGGCTTGATGATGATACACTAATGTAATCCAGCTCATGTAAATGTTGGATTGATAGAATGATTCAGTAACACAGGGATTCGTATTTATTGTTTTGTCTACATCTCGCCAATTCGATTGGTCTTGTTCCGTACTCAGTTACTGTAAAAGTCAAATGAAAATTACTGTAATTACATGCCGATATGGCTGATACACTTATGCCGCTACCTGTTAGTTTTATCATTGTACTATCTTTAATTAACTGAATAACTATTTTGTTTGGCTTCGTTGACTGTTCTTGAGGTCGTTAATTACCAAGAACTAAATAGGCGTATTTACATCAGCTATATATCACAAACATCGGGAGTATATCCAATGAATTAATAAATTAAGAAAGCTGAAATTGTTTAGAATTTCCACCCATTTCTCAATATAGGTGATATAATGCAGGAGAAACTAGTTTGTCAATAATCTCAGCGTAGAACTCGATACGGTTGTGTGTTGATTCTTGTTATCAAACTTCATATCAGTCCAGTAAGTTCAATAAACAAAGATAAAAACCACGTGGTAAAAATGTCATCACCGGAAGTTTTATAAAAGTAAACATCGGAACAGCGGTCTAAGAGAACGAATAAAATCCAACTAGAAATCTGTTTAACACTGGATTTTCAGGTCTAATTAATGATTTACTAGAATTCAAGACACTTTTCAACAATTTCTCTGTTGTTTAAAGTAACACCAGCTTCTGTGAGATCTTTTTTCTTCGTTTTAAGACTTTGACGGAAACTTGGTGGCGCTTGTGAATTAAACCCTCAAATGAAGTAAAATCTTAGTGCATTGAATAACTTTTATCTGTTTACTACCAATTTTGTTTGTAAATATTCTGATGTAATGAGCTATGTTATGCTTCTGTAGCAGTAAAGTTTGCCATATGGACTAATTTCTGGTGGTTTTGTTTTATGAGTTAGGTGATTTGACTGTCGATTTTTAGTTGTTATTCTGGACAAAATCTTAAACCCCTACTCCACGTAGAAGTGAGATTTCTGGTTGTTCCACAAACACTACATCTATCTGTTCCCATGGCCATGTTTATTACTTGGTACCTTCGTACACTTTGTCACCTTCATTTGTCGTTGTATTCGTATCGACTGTCTTTGCTGGTTGAAATCTAACACTATGATTAATTGGCCTATTTCATGTAGGTTTGTAGATTGGGTGGACATCAATGCACTTGTTTATTCCCAACGGACTTAAGTGTTTTCCCCATGGAGGTTCCCTGGCCGTCTTGGGATTTCTCTTGCAGATAGTTTCGAATTTTCTCTAGTTAAACTCACGTCCATGGTTGTCTACATATGTCGATATCAGTGACACCATATCACTTCTCTCTATTGCTGATCCGTGTTCATTTATGGATAGATGAGGAGGACGTTCAACTTGTTCAGTGTGATAGGTCCCGTAGTTGGTGCAATTTATTTTGTAAATGATGTCTCATTTCTCTTCTTTTGTTGTTGCCTTTTGGTCTGTATAGAATGAAATAGAGTGGTTGCATTGGTTTGTGGGCGACGGTTATTCCAAAGAGCTTTAGAGCCCTTGTGATGATTTCTGAGATGAGTTTCGCACATCGTAGGGCGATCTGTTTCTTGGTTGCCAGAGTTGTTTTTTTACTTCTGTGATTAGTGTCTGGACATAATTCGTTTTGTATGCTGTTGTAGCTTTTAATACTTGCTTTGTGTACCTTAGTTTTTTCCATACTTGTTTTTTACGTCCCTCTGTTTACTCTGTTGCCTAAAATATCAAAGAACAAGATCCTGTCTTCTGTTTCTTTAATTGTAAATTTGCTGTAGTTGTTAACGTCGACCAACTTACGAATATTTGCAAGTGATCTCTCTTCAGGATGACTAACATGTCACCCGCGTAACCTCTTCTAAATTGATGTGGTAATCATAAAACTAAACAGGATGTACCTGAATCCTAGAGTGTGTTGTTTACCTGTATGTTTACTCATATGGCTAACCCACTAACATCTTAAGAGTTGAACTTAGAACTTAGTGGGTGATTGTTGTAGATACTGTCTATAGAGCTCTCGATTACTCAAGAGATGAAATCTTGGGTTGAAGTGGAGATACGTTATCAAACATGCTCATGATTACTACCAGTGTCACCAATTCCGGGGGTAGATCTATATAGTAATACTGTGGCGCTGTCGATCGTCTACTTAATAATGTGTACTTTTTCAATAAATTTGTGACTACATTTTATAAAGCCAGCTCAACAAACAATGAAGTTTATGGAATACATTTTTCCTCTCTTTTGCTTCGATACTTTATAGAAACAGTATGGGAAAATTACAAAACTGGACATTTAGGCGAAGAAATGTCTGACATGAATGCATGAAGTCTCATAACGTTATACACTAGCTCGAATCTTGAAATTAAAGAAGTGTTCACGTGATCTAATAGATCATCTTGTTTTATCATTTTGAGCTTATCTCTAGAAACTTAGGGAAGGTCTACATCCATCTAAGTTATAACCTTGGTTCGTATAACCAGATATACATATATCTTTGGTGTTTTTCTTTGTTTATCAGCAAACATCTACAATATATCTGTTTTCTATTTTTCAACCCACCAGTTTACTTGAGCGTGTGATATTAAGATATTATCGTGCAGTCTTTGGTTCTTATGAACCATGTTGATCCCTGAAGACCAAATATGGATGGTCGTTGTTGGTTTCATAATAGCTTTTATTCTTGCTTTTGGAATTGGTGCAAATGATGTGGCAAATTCATTCGGGACTAGTGTTGGGGCCAAAGTATTAACACTGAAACAAGCTTGTATTCTTGCTACAATCTGTGAATTAAGCGGTTCTGTTCTTTTAGGTAAATTTAGTTTGGTTATATATACGTGCGTGCTTCTTCAGGTGCTAAAGTTTCCAATACCATACGGAAAGGTATTGTTAGTGTCGAACTTTTTCAAACCATCGACAACGGGCATGTACTCTTGATGGCCGGACAGGTTGCTGCTCTGGGTGGTAGGTCTATGAAAATAGTATTTTTTTCACTATATAATTTTTTTCTGGATTTCAAAAGTAATCAACTACATTTAATCTCTGGTGCTAACAGTTATACATGAATTAAATAAAACTGATAAGATAATAATTCTCCTAGTGATAATGAGCTATTTTACTTTATGTATATCAACGTTCGCTCGACCATAGCTGCTATCGATGTGGTGGTCGGACTTGCCTATCGTGATGATTCTACTGAACTATGTCGGGGTAAGCACTTGTTTCTTTAGGTGCTGCCACACCAGGGAGGTCGGTTGGAAGACGGTAATGCTAAAAGCAGCAACTTAAGGCCCGCAGGCCAGATCGTACTGCTGACTGTAGTGGAGTGTGGGTGCAGTAAGGTGTTTTGTTCGGACAATCAGCATCTGCATCCGGCGGTAAGGCGTTTTGAAGTGCGAAGCAAACTCATCAAAACGTCCCATATAAAGCACGTGCGCAACTGGCCTTAAGCAGTTGTCCTTTGGGCTCTGTGGTCACACTCCTAGTTCGCCAAGACCACCACTAATTCAACATCCTTTTCAGGTCCCTCAAGAAGAAATATCCTTCTGCGGTGTGGGCAACCGGGAAGTGACAACCATTCTAATACTACTATCAGCACCCGAGGTCATCGTATTGACGATGGAACCACTCCTTTATCTCCTAATAATTCTTTCATCCCAATGAATAACCCTTCTAACTTATCTTTATCACCACGTGCCACTAACATTAATGATTTGAGTTCACGAAATGTTATTTCTGGTCTCTTGAAACTATGCTCTAAACTATATGTTGGAGCTTTTAATATTCGAACCTTGTGTCGGATGACACAACATGCTCCTTTAGCTAAAATCCTAGAGTCTCGCGCTATCAACGTGTAATGCGTCTCCGAAACGCTCATACAGGGTCCAAGTACAGTCATTCATTTGACCTCACCTTGTCAGTATAAAGAATCGGGACGATTTGCTCTAAAAGTGACTGGAGACCCCACTGCTAGTTCCCGTGACCTCGCTGGTGTAGGTTTAGCATTAAATTCCAACTTAAAACAGGCTTCCCTAGACGGGACTCGAATAAACAGTCGCTTGTGTGCTGTCCAGCTAAACGGGACAGGAAGAACTCGATAACCTCATAGATGATATCATCATCACACTAATAAAGTTGTAAGTTCGATTTCGGACCAAACGCATCCTGCAAATCTGGACAGACGGTGTACATCTCGAACTCTATGGGTGTGATAAACGGACAAAGTGGCTGACTTAGTAGATGAGGAACTCAAACGACTTAATCTCTAATCCGATGCATTCATCATCACCGGTACAGCAGTGACATGGACATGCTCAGATCGCATTATCCTATATGTACTTTGTCTTCGTGTCAACTCTGCTCACTTATCGTTTTGATGGATCGTCCCATTATGACTATAATTATCATATTCTCATGATTACATTAATGTCATATCATCACCTAACGTGGAATTATTATTTTTGTTCGTGCTGACATTGGATTATGACATATACACAATCATATCACTCACCGAAGAAATTATAATTTTATGAACATTCCATTCACGTTATAACATTTGAAACTCATTGGACTGTTTTCTATTATTCAATAACGTAAAACTTTCCTGTCTTGAGTGAGTCCGCTCAATTTTTTTTCGTGCCATTTCCGCCCTATTTTTACACACATTTACTTAGGCGAGATCATTTTAATGCTATACCAAACATTTTTCATTTCGATATCATTTGTTATGTCTGTGGATGCCTTTAATTCTGATAAGCTTTTTGCTAGGATATCTCATCTTTATTTTGTTCTGGGTCAATTATCGCATCAATGACTTGGTTATTATCTTTCATTTTTGCGGATATATGGCTGTCACATGTCATATATTTCCGATATATTTACTACCTGCTCATACATCAGACAACTTGCAACCTACTTATTCTCACGGTATATTCCTCTGTCATACCCATGAACGATTTATCACTCTGTTTTCACGATATTTTGAATCGCTCATACGAACGTGTCATTTAATCATTCAAAGTCACGAAATAAATGTATGTTAATTTTTTGTACGCTTGATAATTTGCTCATAATCGCATGCTAACATTCCATTTTTTCCCCATCTTTACAATATTCATGTACTTTTTTACATAAGTGTGACAATACATTCACTCCTTACGCGACACTACTCTATCAGATACAGTACAATTTTTGTTCGCTAGTTATTGTTTACGTTAACTGCACACATCTTCTGTGTTAATTTCGAAAACAGACATTTTAAGGTTAATTCGCTATTTTCTACAGGGGGCTTTGACGTGGCTGGCACTATGTCAAGCCCATATAGTTTATTCTAGCTTTCGGACAGGCCAATTCATTCATTCTCCTTGAGTCACATTTTTGACTTTGTTAATTATTCGCTTATCAACCTTGACCGTTTTTATGTAAGCGTATGTGTGTGCGTTTGTTATTCGACTCATCACATGTCTGTAACCTGTTTTTTGTCTGACTAGAAATATTGAGTAACTCTTGATTCAGTTGATTTGATTGACATGTCTTCTCCGGTTCGTTTTGTTTCACTCTCTCCTCTTCTCTTCCTTCGCTCCGTCTTTCTGATTGTCTATTCCGATCAATGATTGTACAAAATATACTTATTCAAAACTCATTCTTGTATTTGTCTTACTTTAATTCCGTTATTCACTAACGCGAGTTAAGTCGAGGATTGGCAACACGTATATATCTCGATAACAATCAGAAACGATCTAACTGGAGTTAGATATAATGCCACTAGAAGTGTATTTTGAGATCACGGAATATTCAATGTCTGGGTTAGGAATAGAGTACTAGGCAAAGATAGGAAACCGATTGATTATCTAATAAATCTACATCAACTGAGGTGTTTGGGACATGTGTTGCGTATGCCCAACCACCGCCTACCTCGACAGTCGATGTTTTCTGGTGCAGGAGTAGGCTGGAGGGAAGCTATGGGGCAGCCAAACCAAAACATGACATCAATCCATGGAGTCACTGACAACTGGATTTAACTAGTGTTAATAAGTACTACCTGGTCGACGGTTACATGATTATCGTAATCAATGGTTGGAGACGTTGAATGACATGGCTCTAAATCGTTTGGAACGGCTCAGGTGCATCCATTCTTTGTCGTTATTCTGCTAATTTATATTTTCTTTTCGAGTCATATCTTCGATGTCCAATATTGCCTATTACCACTGATACTGTTACTACCTCTACTATTTTAGGATCTGGCCTGACAACAACTTCATCTTTCTGTGCTATTCGGGTATGGCAACTTGAACCGATGTACATGCGTATAGGTTCTACGTTGTGATTGACTAATATCAACTGTTAAATTACAGTTGTTACCAAACTGTTTAATGTCTTTTGCACAATAAAACATTTGAGGGCAACTTTAAAAATCTTAAATACTTAGTCAGTTTTAAAAGGAGATTTTATTATTCCAAAACAATGACGTACTTATTACAATATTGATAAAATAATTGTCAAGTTATTTGTTAGTTTTTATTCTATGTTTGAGTGAAATTGTGTGCAGAATCCAACGTAGTTCTTGTGATTATAGTTTTAATGTCAAGTTGGCACATTTATACTCCATGTTCTTAACAAATATTTACTTCTCTCAAGGTGATTGCTAATTTCCTGTTAAAATAATCTTTGTTGTAAAATAATTTGTGACTTATCAAAATTTATTATTGGTTGCATTTGTGATAGGCATATTTTTTAATGCTATTTATTTTTATTGAATAAAAACGAACCCATTAGATATTTGTATACTTGTTTAGCAAATGTTATGTTTGCTTAAAGCCTGTAATATTGGGTCTAATGAACTCATGACAAGCAGTTAAATGTATACACTGTTATTATGTATTATTCAATTTGGGATTAACTCTAACATTTTGAGATTATTTCAGGTATGTAGCATAGTTAGTATAATGGTTAAAAGATAACTTCTGACAGTTTTCTTAATCTCTATTCTGACGGGCGCATATCAGTTAATTAAACTCGAATATCAAATAATTGACATTAAGTGGATGTATTTGATAATCATAAGCTTTTATCATCAGTAAACTGTATTCATAGAATTATACATATACTGATAGAGTTTACGGAGGTATTCACTATTTCGAGTAACTTTTTTCTACCATTTTCTGTTATATTTGTTTCATTTGTCTATAGGTTCTTGTATTTGGCTTTTGGTTGCTACATTCTTCCGTCTTCCAGTCTCTGGCACACATAGTATTGTAGGTGCAACGATGGGTTTTAGTCTTGTTGTTTTTGGACTCAATGCTATTCAATGGAAAGGACTACTCAAAATTGGTAAGAGTTTTTTTTTAATATAAAGATAATGAACATGATAATTATTTTTCTGAATACACTTTTGATAATTTAATGAGAATAAATTATTTAGTAGTGATATTGTTTACTCGATACTGCAGTAGTTATTTATTCGTGTAGTAGAGATTTTAACCCTATATGAATGATTATGATTTCATACGAATTCATAACTTTGCAGTTTGAGTCCCATTTCAAACTTGAACAGCATGAATTCTACTTGTTAGTAAAGTTATTATTACCATTTAGAAATGTTTAAAAATGTAAGTAATTTGTCCCTTTATGCGTCAAATGCTTAAGCATTAATGCTCCTCACAGTATCTTTATGAATTAAACTATTTTTCTTATGATAGCTATTGCTATTGGTAAAATCTAGTTCCCTTTTGATAAATAAATAACTGCTTAGGCCTAGACAACTAGACATGGCTATCTATATAATGTACTTTATGTACCTTGATTTTCAATAGTAAACTACAGAATATTTCGTAAATCTCACTTTATTGTATTCTTATGCTGGAGCGTAGGATAATCCACATGATTTAGAAAAGCGTAACAGAAAACGGATGATTTGATAAAACCTAGGAGAGATTTTAAATCATAAGACATTCTGATAATTAATAAGCCATAAAAGTTACATTACAAAATCAAAACATAGTCTGTTTTTCCTTATTATCGCTTTTTAACTACGTGGGAATCATAATACGTCAAACATTTTTGTCAGTCTGAGGTTGTGGAGATTGTTGAGTTTCAATGAAATCACAAACCGATTTAAATCAGACAGCCATCCGAAAATTGGAAGCACTAGACTGCCTTTTCATTCTAGCGTGCGACTCCTAAGTAGTGTGTACCCACGATCCCAGAACCGGGATTCGAACCCAGGACTTCCTGTCTACAGAACAAAGGTGATAAGTGTTAGATTTTATATACGTATTATGTTTTGTATATATGGTTATACGTTTTGGAACAGTTTCTACTGCACACTATGTATATAGTCAAACAGTTTGTTCCTGGATTAAACTTACTTTATTGATGTGTTTTCCCATGTTAGGTGATCAGGATTAGACGGTATATTTCATCATCTGACTCAACAATGATTGTATGTGTTCACTCAGCTGATTTCTACTATTTATGTAAAATTATATGCATATGCAAATTCTGTCACAATGATGGTTCCACAAACAACGCAAAAATATAATACACCGAGTTGCTTGAAGTAATGTTTCGCTTTTCTATATTTAGAACAAAATTAAATAATAGTAGTCTCAGTTTTTTGAAAACGAAGTTAACATAGATCTATTTCGCAGTAGAATGAGGTATCTAAGATCCAAAGCAAAACTTACATCTGATTTATATTTACAGGAGAACACTAGATACAGTCGTTTGAGTATGATGTCATCGGTGCAAAGATATATTTTGTATTTATTTTTTCTTCAAGTAGTGAGAATTTAATCGTTTCTGACCAGTTTGCTATTTGTTCCATTGTTTATTTGTCCTTCGCTTTGGTATTTTAGAAATAATATTTCTTTTCTTGAACAAACATTTCTGTTTGCCTATATTCTTCGTGTTTACTTCAACACTTTTCTCTTTTTGCTCCGCTATGAAATGCTACAATTAGTTAGTATGTATTTATTGTTCATGGTTTGATAATGCTGAGTCTTCACCACCTAATTATGAATAGTACTTGCTGTAATTTAAGTGATCACATTGGTTGGATGGGAAATCTATATATTCTATGACGGTAGTGATTTATATAATAGTGGACTAAGATAAACTAAATATAATGAATAATCTCATAGACCGAATAATAGTTTTATTCCTTGAACTACTGAGCAGTTTTATAATCATAATAATAGTGTTGTAAGTAATTTAGAGAAGAAACATGATACTATTTAAATACTGTAACTTACATTGTATTTCCAGGCTTTACTTTTCATTCACATTGGTCTTTTTTATTGAAAGTTACATGACTTTCCCTGTTTAAATAAGAAAAAATACACCTTTTCGAGATTTACTTCACATTAAAAATACTGTAATCAATTTCGTCAATTTCAGGATTTTATTATATTTTGCCTACATTCGTGTCTATAGCATGACAGTTCAATTAAATATGCCAAATTATTTAATAATAATAATAATAATAATAATAATATTTACATACTTATGCCTGTTACCCATCGTGGAGGAGCATAGGTCGTCCACCAGCATTCTGCAGCCAACACTGTCATGAGCAATCCTTTGCAGTTATTTTCAGTTGCAATTCATCCTTTTGATGTCTGCTTCCAATAATGATTATAATTAATTTACTGTCCTACTTATTGACACTTTATACTTATAAGGATTGAATAAGTATTAACATTTTTGTATAATATATTCATACTACATTCGTTCAGAAGAACGATGAAAGCTCCACGACCGAACCATCCAGCTCAGAGAACAAAACTCCATCAACATCAACATAATTTGATAACTTGACTGTTAATAATCCTGTTTTTACATATTATATTTTATGCAACTTTACATGTAGAACTGTTCATTTTATTTGTTTGTACATAAATATGGAATGCTATCATGGCCATATTATAGGATGGTAACGATAGCTAATGTTGCTATTGGATAGAATTGACTTTAATCGTGTGACTTGGACCTTATTTTCTGTGTAATTTCTTTCATTCGTTTTTATAAACTATAAATCAAATATTTTCATACAGAGCTTAGTTAAGTTTTCCCAAAATAGTTTTTTTTAAAAACTTGTAAAGGGCTGTAAATAAGTAATATATTTGTAATATCCTAATGAGTAGAGAATTAGATTTTCTGACGTTTCGTGACTTAGTGTAAGTCACTTCTTCAGAGAATAAATAACCAAATTAAACTTGGATTAATTTTAATTAATTAATTACACTAAGTCAAGAAACGTCAGAAAATCTAATTTTCTACTCATTAGGATATTACAAATATATTATTTATTTATAACAATCTACCCAATGCTCAATTCATTCGAAATTATCAAATCAAACCTTGGTAATGATACCTTGTAAAGGAATAGTTATCTTTTTTTAAAGTGGGATAAATTTGTTCAGTTTCCTCACTTGAATTTAGATACATTCATGCTGTATAGACTTATGTTAATTGATATGACTGGTCAGAATGAATTGTTCTCCATAAATAAGTGAACTAGACAGAAGACATATTTTCAGACTAATGAAATGTATATCCTACTTACTTCGTATACATTCTGTCGAAAAATCATGTTGATACAACTTAGATAATAAAAGTCAAGCACGACTTGTACGTACACTTCAAACATGCTGATGTCGAATGACAGACAAACAAATAAAAGGTCTACAGAGTGTACAAATCACTGAAGTTCGGTAGTACACCGACTCAGAGAATAGTAAGGTGACTTAGGTTTTATAAATCATGTAAGAAATACAGGAATGGGATATGCATATACGTACTATTATACACAGATGTACAAAACGTGCTCAAGCTTGCACTGGACTAATTAACGAGAATAAATGTATGTGTCATAGAATAACTGGAAAGATTAGAATAAATTCTGTGCAAATGTTTGAATAAGTCACGTAGGCGTGTAATGAAACAAATTATTACATAAGCTGTGAAATTTCCTTCATTCTCCAGTTAACTGTTTGACTGCATGAAATTAAGTTTTTGGCTTATCTGTGACTAAAACTCCGGTGATATAACCTGTCAAGATATGATTATTTGAATAAACAAGTCAATAAGTTAATATACGTTAGGCTTTCACCAAACTTTAATCACTTAGTCAAGCTCTTTAACCTATATTTCTTGGACAACAAGATTATTAAGTATCAAAATCAAATATTTCTCTTATCGACAAATTATTTATTATATTGTATAACTAATATAACAAATTACTACAATACTTAACTATTGTTGAAACCAAAGGTATTTTTAATTCATGTGTTTAAATGATTCGGTTTGGTGATGAACAAGGAGCGAGCCATAATTTATTGATGATAAGGAACGTAAACTTAATTCTCTTAAAAAGAACTACTGGAAATCTGTTTTTAAGGAAATCTCGAATCGAAAATATTAACTGAGTTTTGTGTCCAATAAAATTTTGTCCGAACTAATATGTTTACTAGTCAGTTTCAAACGATTTTAAGAATTCTTATTGGTAGACTAGGAAAAGTTGAAATATTCTCATGTTGACAGTAACCAATGTAGACACACTCAAAATGTAATTATTGGATGCTAACATTAACCATCTTATGTTAAACCGATCTACTTACTGATCACGAAATTTCTTTTATCATTTGATTTTATTTTTAGCCACAACATATTTCTGTGCAAGTTCAACTTACAATTGCATTGTTTTAATAATCGTTTAATTTTCTGATGTACACTTTTAACAATTACCATAAATGAATGCTTTCTAGAGCAGTAAGGGGATAAAAATGTAATATCCGTTGTAAATTATGAAAATGGTGAACGTTTCTTTGAATTAATGCTAGTATTTCTGGTAACAGTACAGTATAAGGATGAGTTTAAAACAGCTGCGACGAATTTCCATCTAGTTTCTAGACGATCAGAAAGTAGATTTTATAAATGGATAGGTTATGTAAAAGAATTGTATACAGATTTCATGAAATAAATCTATCAATGTCTTTTGAAAGTTACTTTGTTTGTAAGTCGAAGAAACAACTACATATAAACTCGTCCTCATGAATATAGACCGTCCATCTTTTTGAATAGTTTAAAGGACCCCAAAAAATTCTTAGGAGTCCCTACATTGTCCGAAGTTAGGGTTTTCATCACGAAATGGCGTCAGCTGAAGTGAAAAAATACTCTGTTGCCATATGGATGAATGAATTTCACTCGAGAATACAAAAGGCACTATCTGATTAGTTCGTCTATATAATGTACTGTTACCAGGTTAAAGTTTGTTACAGGATTAAAAGTTTAGAGCTTGGATTATAGGGATGGTGTTGATTTGCCAGTTATATATAATTTACAGAAAAAGGATTGATCATTTGATGCGTTTAGTAATATCATTTTTACTATACAGTTGCAAAAGATAATTATCTGCAATCATTTTAAACGTTTTGAAAGACATACGAAAGTATTTGTACTGTTGATTATACGTAATCTTTGAATTTCACGCAAAAGCCTAAAATTTGCACTCTTGACTGTGAGTGGCTCGTCGCCGCACCATGCTTTTACCAGATTTCTTATTAATATTTAAAGACTGTATCTTTATAAATTGTAATTAGAAATTGTCAAGTTTGTTGCAAACTTTTCAGTTGTTCAACATGTAGACTTAATTCCGCCCGTCTGTGTTAAAGTTGATCATCAATGTTCAGTTGTTGTCAACATCCAGATATGCATTCGTGACCAGTATTCATTTCATTAACCCAAGGGTTTACAATGTCGTCTGTCATTTTTACATGCTTATTACTCTAATTGAAGTCTCGCCGAGATTTGGGCGAGTATTTTCACAAAAATTGGTCGCGGAAGAAATTGGTTATAAATTATATCTGTAAAAATTTCAGAAATTCAAATCAAGTGCATTCAGAATTTGATTCGGCAGTCCAATCTGAGCTTCTCCATGGAAAAAGTCAAAACTATAGAAGATAGATTAGGTCGGAAGTAATTCTGACCATGGCATAATGCCTTTTATAACCACTCTATAAGAATGACGTCCACATAATATATTCAACATCATATACGGCTGTTCTGATATATTTTTTTCACTGAATGATTCATGTTAATACTGTAAATGTGACTGAACAATTTAGTGTAAAATAACTTTCAACTTATTCTATTTTAGATAATTTTGATTATTTCCTTGTAGTAAACCAGATCATGCTGTTAGGTGAATTGTTATAACTATTGAATTTTAATCTCTGAGACTTTTACAAATAGAAATTATACCTTTCGTACAGCGTTTATGAAAGCATCTTATAACATAGATAATATTATACAAGATTTTGTTTCAAAATATAGACTAAATGAAATAACACACCAATATTAATAATAAGCAAATAAATTAAGTCTACGAAATTAATTGTTGACTTTCTACTATCACCCATGAATTGTATACTCGATAATGATTATATCACATTTTGTTTATCATCAACCTAACATGACTTGTGAGCATCATTACTTCTTAAAATAGATAACGTTGATTTGATTGTTGTCACATTGTTTTATCCATTTGAATTTAGTTGGATCATGGTTTCTCTCACCTCTTCTAAGCGGTTTGGCATCTATCGGAGTATTTTTCCTGATGCGTTTTATGGTGCTGAGAAAAGTAAGTTTTCGACTATTTTAATGCATCATACTTGATCTCATGCTCTCTTATCATAAGAAATTGGGTTAGTACTAGACTTTTAAATCAAATTTTCGAATTTGAATCCCTTACAATGTTTACTTACGAGTATGTTTTCAGAAGATTGAAACTAGTTTTGTTATTGATGGTGATGTTAGCTTGTTATTGCTTATTACACAAACGTTATTATTTTCTTCTACATTTTGATAAAATTAAAGAATGAACAAATCTGTGTAACTGCGATTGACTTTTGTTTGTGCCAAATGTAACCTCTACCAATTTATCCTTATCATCTCGTTTTCACTTAGTTATTACGGCTACACTTTAAAACCACTGAGTTCACAAACTAATGTATTTGTCTTGGTTTGCTGACTACTTTATGAATCCTTCATACGTACTAATAATATGACTGTCTTGATCAAGATACTCTACTCACGTACGTTTTCTAAGTAAAGAGTTATGATAAGTTACTCAATGTCTGCGGATTTCTATTCCCAGCAAACATGAACATGGTTTAATGGGTTGTCTCAGCTAAATTAATTAATGCTTCGAAGGTATTAAAGACTCCATACTTGTATTCGTGTTGTATTATTCCTGGTTAACAAGCATTTTTCAAATGTGCATAAAAAGGTGGTCTACCATATTTTGTCCTATACATTATACTCTGTTATCAACTCAATATTTCCGTGTTACTGTGAAGGTTAATAAGAGAGTTTACATTTAAATCATACCAGATATCTAAAATACTTTTGGGGTTATTACAATCAAACGATTTAACAATTGTCCTTGACACAATTTTATACACATGATAAAATACTTGGCTTTTATTTTTAGTGTGAGTAAGAACATTTGAATGTTAACTTCTTTTTATTATGAATAAAATCATGTTCAACCAATGACTTTCTAGACACTTAAACTTTTGAAGCTGATAAAAGACGTGACAGTTTTCTACCAATTGACTTACTCTATTTAGACGTAAATATAAGAATGATATTTTTTAAGAAAAATGTATGCGAATCTGTCATATCTGAATTTTATTTCCGGATTTTATATATTAGCAATGAGATTAACCGAGGTCTTAGGTAGAATTTGGGAACTGGACGTATTCCCATCTGACTGGTCTCAATCACTGATTGTGCCAGTCTATAAGAGAGAACAAAAGTCCTCTTGTGACCATCACAGAGGAATCAGTTTGACTAATTTAGTGTCTAAAATATCAGCTTCAATAATACTTCGACGCCTAATCAAAGCTCGTGAAGAGCAGATTAGAGAAAACCAGTCCGGTTTTCGACCTGGACGTGGTTGTATAGATCAGATATTCACACTACGTCAGGTTCTAGAACACAGACACACATTCAGACGCCCCACAATGGTAGTATTTCTCGACCTTAAGGCGGCATTCGACTCTGTTGATCGTGAGGTTCTATGGCAGTGTTTGTCACTGAAAGGAGTACCAAAGAAGTACATTAACCTTATAAAGGCTCTCTACTCGAACACAACTGGTAGAGTAAGAGCTCATGGCGAAACTGTCATCAGAATTGATTACCTCAAGTGGTGTTCGTCAGGGCTGTCCAATCTCCCCATTCTTGTTCAACTTTGTGGTCGACGTACTTTTAGAGATAACACTCTCCTCGTCTAGATTTCCAGGGGTTGAACTTCTACCAGGAGGTTCACTTGTTAACTTAGAATATGCAGATGACATAGTTTTATTTGGTGAAGACGCTGACAAAATACAGAGTCTTCTGACCACTCTAATCAACAATGCAAGCATGTTCGGGATGCGATTCTCTCCCTCGAAATGCAAAATGTTGCTTTAGGATTGGGTTGCATCGACACCCGAACTAATGATAGGGAGTGAAGTAGTTGAGTGTGTCGACCGCTTCACTTATCTTGGAAGTCTCATCAGCCCTTGTGGTTTGGTGTGTGACGAAATATCAGCACGGATACAGAAGGCTCGACTAGCTTTTGTCAACTTACGTCATCAACCAAAGGACGTGTTTACTACGCAGCAGTTCGTTCCGTCCTACTTTATGGCAGTGAAACATGGCCGGTAAGAGTAGAGGATATCCGTAGGTTACTAGTATTCGATCATAGGTGTCTTCGAAACATTGCTCGTATATCATGGGACCATCGAGTAAGTAACACAATTGTTAGGAAACGGGTACTAGGTAAGGATGGCAAATCAATTGATGAAGTAGTGAAACTTCATCAGTTGAGATGGCTGGGACACGTGTTACGTATGCCCAACGACCGACTGCCTCGACGTGCTATGTTCAGTGTTATAGGAGTAGTTTGGAAGAAAGCTAGAGGCGGCCAGACCAAAACATGGCACAAGTCCATGAAGTCACTGACAAGTGAACTGAGTCATGTTGGTAGGTGTAGACTACCTGGATGGGGACCGCGAGATGATAGCAACCGATGGTTAGAGACCCTGAATGACATGGCTCAAAACCGTTTGCGATGGCGCAGGTGCATCCACTCTCTGTGTTCTCGCAAATCCTAATCTTCTGAATTCTTCATGTCCCTTTTTTCCTCTTTCCAAATTTATTTCACTGTATTATAGTCTTTAAATAACATCTCCAAAGCCTCATCTTCCCGATTACTGCTTATATTGTTGTTACCTCTACCACTACGGGATTTGAATCGACCACTGCATCTCTGTGCTAATGTGGTGTGGCAACTCGAACTGATGTACGTACGTACGAAGTTCTACGTTGTTACTGACTGACTGACTACGTCCTTTCGAATACGTTCTGTCGCAATTGTTTCGATATGAACGTTCGCGATCGGCACGTCGACATATTACTTTTACGCTTATGAGGTGAGCGTCTTGGAATACTAATGAAGTCGTGTCTTCGGGTCTTAGATTGCTTAATTCAATGTCCGTCTTCTGCAACTTTGCCACACCTCGATAATCAATTCTATTTAGAATATGCGCGTTTATCGTTGTTCTTGATAGTGCATCTATTACCTCGTTGAATTGGCTTTTAATATATCGTATATTCTGCGTTGTGCGAGAAATAAATTATAAATGTCGGATTTCTCTCGCAGATTAATTATCTTGCTTGGCGTTTAATGCTTTTGTGAACGGTTTATGATCCGTGTTCACAGTAAAATTTGTACATTCCGCCATATGTTGGAAACGCTTTTTGCCAAGTAAATTGCTAGTAATTCTCTTCCAAATGTAATATGCCCAGTTTGTTTAGGATTCAATCTCTTTGGGATAAATGAAAGCGGTTTCCTTGTGCTGTTAAATAACTGTTGCAAAACGGCTCCTTTCGATGCATTTGATGCTTCAGTCATGATAGCTAGTGGCATTTCACTCCTTCTTCTAGCTAGCATCGTCTTTTGTAAAGTGCTTTCTTGGCGTTCTCGAATGCCTGTATCGCCTCTGATAACAGATGGAACGTCCGGCCATGTCCACGCAACGTACTCATCAATGGCTGTAGTATTGCCTCACAATTCAGGATAAATCGCTTATAATAATTTATTAGCCTGAGAAATCGTCGAAACGTCTTCCGTGATTCAGATAACGTGTTGTATCGGATAGCATCGACTTCCACTGGGACTGGCGTAATACCTTGGGAAGTTACCATATGACCTAGGAACTGTAAGGGTCGCTTTCCAAATTCACACTTCTCAACGTTTATAGAGATATCATGTTCTCGTAGTCTAATGAATAGTTGTCGTAGTTGCTGTAGATGCTCGTCTATCGTATCGCTGGCTACTGGCAAGTCGTCGATTTGCGCATATACTCCTGGTAAACATCTGATGGCTTGGTCAGTAAATCGCTGTAAGGTTTGCGCTGCATTAGTCAATCCGAAAGGCATGTGCAGAAATTAATATAACCCGAATGGGGTCGTTGCTGCTGTTTTCGGTATGTCTTTTGGCGCGACAAGAATGTGGTGATATGCTCCAACTAGGTCAATCGTGGGTGTGTGGTACAGAATATCTGTCAGTTATTGTTCGTTTGTTAAGTTCTTGACAGTTTCTAATCGACGTCCTGACAAAAAGTCTAATGACTTGAAGCAATACTGATATTTGTTAGATCCTATGTTGGTTTCGAATGGCTGGTAAGCCGTATATTTTATCCTATAAAACTTAGCTATACAAATAACTTTAAAAGACATTACTGTTAGTTGTTTTCCATCAGCGACACTTAACTCAAATTCAAAATGACCGCCTGTCGATTTAAATAACTTAACATTTAAAATAAATTATTGTGTAGTCATGACAGTATCCGTATTGACTAGACTACATTACTTGAGTAGTAGATTTTAAGCAATATCCCCAATTTCTTAACAATGCAGTGATGTCCATCTAATAACGTTTTCTACTTTAGTCATTTTTATGTTCGTATTTAATGAGATTTGTCGTGTTGTCAGACTACTCTTCCATTATTTCTAGTTTCATTCTTTTACGTAAATCCGACATGATTTATTCTTCTACCAGACAATATTTGTTGGGTTTAATTTAAGTTATTAATCTTATCTCTCTACAAAAGCTCATCACATACTAGTCATATAGATATGTGTGTTATATGTTAACGTGTTTGTGTCCATATTTCTTTAATACATAACAATCTAATGAAGACCGAAGTCGGAAAAACACGGGAAAGAAAACTGATTCTATAGTTGTTTCTGATTTTGTTGTCGTTATTAGTTTTCTCTGTCATTCTTTATGTACGTGACATTCTTTTATGTGCATTGTTATTCCACAAGAATGTCTATAGAGTGTTTTAGTCGGTATATGTGTGTATATCCTGTGTGTTGGTTGAATCTTATGTAAAATCACTATTTTACACTGAACATTTGTTTCTTTAAAAATGGATTTCGTTGTTGTTTTTTTCACTGCTTTCACTCTACATTTATTTGTTTATGTTTAGGAATTTGTGACACAATTATTTGTGCAGATTTTAAAAACAAAACAAACATTGTAAATATATGTATGTATGTATATATATATATATTATTTGTAGGCAGACAGTCTACTCATAGAGCAAGTCGAATGTAACTAACACAAAGATGTGAACAATGGTATCTGCGTAATATATTTGTAAAAATAACACATCTTTTCCAGGACTACGTAAAACTATAAGTAAAATAATCTGAGTATTAATATTGTTATTCAAAACGATATATATATGTATATAACCTTGTGATTTGCCGTTTCAACTCAATAGACTTGAATAGTCCGTGATGGATAAATGGGCATTTATTATTTATTTAGAAGTCATTCCTCTTCTTATCTTAAATGTTTATTATTTTATTGATAGACAGTGAAATAGCTGTTAGCATACTGACTGTTTTTTGAATCCGTCAGTTAGAATAGTGATGAAAGTAGTAAACTCTAACAAAAAATTTCTAAACATTTCTGGTTTCTGTATTTCCAAGTTAGTTCCTAGTGTGAGTGTTTACAAGTGAAGGATGAAATCCAACCGCAGTCTTGATCAATGCTGAATAAGGATTTTTAAGTTTTTTCGTTGAATATATAATTAGTGAGGTTCATTGATCTCTCCGTTTATATCAGTCATATGTTTCTGATCATTTACTTATAATATTACTTATACTACATGTAGTCTATCCAGATTTCAGGTTCCACTAGTCTTAGTTTCTATTCAGTCTATAATAAGACAAACATCCACATTATTCACGTGTATTAAAAGAATTAACTGTATGTTATTTCAAATTGTTCAGAAACAAACATAAATCCATCATACAGTCATGTGAATTAAAATGAAGTTCATTCCGTAAACTGAACAAGTGCAATTTTATATATTCACTTTTATGTATTCACTTTAATTGAGACACAAAACTTTATTTTATCATGAAATTAGTTCATTTAGAAGTAACTACTCTAATAAATGTTTAGTTCCAACTTTAATGGTACGATTCATGTAAAAAACCTACATTGAAATTAAGTGTAATCGAATTAAATTTCATTTATATTAGCACACTGAACAAGAAAGTATTTAGAAAGTGTAATCGTAACTTTTTATCATTTAAAAATGACTCTGTGATATTATGAAATCAGTCAATCACTTTATATACCTTATGAACAAATGTGAACTTAACTGATTTTATCACTAAATATGCATGCGTTTATCTAGAATCATTCTAATTTGTTAACGAATATGTAATTTCCTTATTTCTACTCTTAAATAAATTCATTGAATTATGTGAACTGATGAATTGAATTACTGATCAAGTTAATAAAATTCGGTGAAGTTCACGAACTTTATAACATTCATGAAGTTCTCAGGATTATCCATAGTTAATTTTATCATACTGAATAATGACTGATATACATATTTTTTTAAATAGTTACTGATACATTTCTCTAATAACACAACATTTCTGATAATCAAGGTTACCACGTCTTTGCCAACTAGTGCACTCGTTATCAACAGTAAAATGATTGTGTCAATATTATACTTACTAAATAATTAGTGCAGTCTAACTGTGTTACATTACCTGGAAATAGACCTTCATCCGACTATGATCACATTCTCTTCATTTTTTGTGTTTTCATTTATTCTTTTCTAAATTATGGTTATATATATTTATAGATGGTAAACCTATAATTGACTTTGTAGAGTTCATTTATACTTTGTTTTTAAAAGAAAATAGAGCAGTTTTATTCTATTTTGTTTAGAGTTTTCTTTACAATATAATCTTCAAACATTTGAACTGTAACACAAACCTCCAAGCAGATATTAAGAACAAAAATGCAGATTATCTATCAATTTTGCTTACAGTATTACATTAAGAGCTTATGAATGTTGAAGTTTAATAGAGTTACCGGTGTAACGATAATTTATGGACTACCTTTGAGCTACACTGAAGTGACCTTGAGAGTGTCCACCTAATAACTAGGACCAAATGAGAGTTGTAAACCAGTGTGAAGAATTAGAATGATCATTAACAGTTGATGGTTAAGGTTAGGGATTAGATTTAGGGTTTTCATCACAATGGGTAAATATCTCGCAGTCTACAATTGACCGTTGAAAACACTGATTCTGACCCAGTGAATTAGCTGGTCAGTTATGTGCAGTGTAGAACCTGGTACTTAAGTATATTGACTCAATTTGCTACACTACAGTATTACCAATCAAATAGAGGTAGTAGCATCAGCGACAGTAAAATAGATCAGTCATAATGAATATGACTAGAGAACAAATGATAGATGACTAATAATGTCCTAGTAAAGAGCCGTCAATTTTTGACACATCTTTTGATGGTAAACACTTCCACAAAACGTCTCGATCACTAAAGCCAAATACTGCCGTCGCGTCAAGGAATACTATCTTTATCAGAAGTCGGTTAGTATGCTTATGTTCTGTAAAAGTGCGAAGATTTGATCGGTGGATCGACACTTTGTTCTAAAACCATGCTGACTTTCTAAGGCTTCCAGTTCACTACCCTTAATTAAGTGTTGGGTTATTTTTGAGACGGCTATTCTAGACAATACAGATCGGAGGAATTCCTCTGTGGTTATGAGAAGTGGATTTATGTCCTTCCTACTTAATACGATCAGACGCCATTACGTGCCAATTCTGCACTGATGACGATGTGGTTTACTTGAGTTTGTGTTTGAGTTGGCTTTGCTGGTCACTACGATGGACAATGTTTCTCTTTATGGGCATTTTTAGGCTTATGAAAGTTAGGGATATTTTTATAAAACTGATCGTTTTGTTTTTCCGAACTGCAGTTGGCTTGAGCGCTGTCAGAGACTGGAAGAATGTAACGGTGTTTTTCTTTGTCGTGTTGGGTTCATACAATACTATTCAAGTGGACGGCGCGGCGCGCAAGTAAAGATGCAGTCCAGAAGACCTCGTTTTGCTTTTGAATTAAATGAAATAGTTACACAATTTAGGAGAGTGACTGTATAGCGTAAGCGATAAGTGCTTGAGGCCGGTTACACGCGACCTTTCCATGAGGATTTTTAATGTGTTAGCTCTGTACTTTAAAAGGCATTCCATTCTCAGTCAGGAATCTTTGATACATGATGAAGTGTGATGTATTTGTAACCTGTCTTCTCTAACCCCTGCTTTCTATTGTCGAATGAGGTGATCTCTGGAGATCCTGGTTGTTGCGATCATATTCCAGTACAGTTTTCAGTATAACGTTCTTCAACTGAACTGTCTCGCGTGGTTGGACCTCAGAGGAACGAGCGTTCCCGTTAATATTCTTCTGTTGGGTCACTACGATAGGTGGACTCGATCACCATACCGATGTGGAAATCTCCGGTAGGGACTTATTATCATCTAAGTTGCCGCGAGATCGTAGCTTGATAACGTGTGAATTTGTGAATGTGTGCTATTGATAAGTTGTCAATATGGCCGAAACAGTCACCAATAATTCTGTGGCATTTTTCAGTAGTGTTTTAGGTAAAACCAGTTAATGATAAAATTGATTTCAAAATAATATCTTGGTTTCTATTTATGAAAGGGATTGTCTTACTGTATGAACAGAAATTAGTGCTGATATTGTGAGCTACTGGTTTGTACAGCTAACATGCTAATTAATTGCACACAATGATTATAACCACCTCATTCCAAACTATTTGGAACATGATTAAACTTAGAGTGACTAATACTGAACTAAACTCATTATTATTGTATTTCTATGTCGCTCGAATGTTTCTAAATCAATTGTGCAATAATCGATATTCTAGTGCGTGATGTGTTGTCTTTATTTGAACATAAACAACATTTGAAAGACAAAATAAATCCATAAAAAATATACCGCTAGTATTTTAACAGTTTATTCGATTAATAAACTGTCAAGTGAGTGCATATTTTATAAAGTTAACTATACAGTTATTCATTTCAAAGGGAATATTTCGAGATGTTTTATTCTCACTGTATTAATTAATGTTTATATTTGACCAGATATTATGGTTATGAATATAATTGGTAATGTTAGGACCGATTTGTCAATGATTTGTTTGTCAACGTGTTTGAATCAGGTTAACTGCTTTTGTGAAAGTACATACATAAGCCTTACCCATAACTCCTTCTTTTCTTAATTATGTACCTTCATGGTTATGACAGGTTATCAGATCTATATATAGCGCTATGATTTCTAATCCGGAATATAGAATAAGATTTTTCGGTTCATACCAGATATCGAATAATTCACTAAACGGTAAAAATACTCCTCCATCATATCGTAAGTGCCATCGTGTACAACTAGAAGAATTCTTACTTATGAAGATGAAAGTTCTGAGTATCCTTAATTTTTTTAATAAGTTTTATTAACTGATCAACAGTTCCTTTTAATATTCAGACCACCCTGTTCGACAACTATCATCGTAAAATCATAGTGACTGCACAATAATATAGATTACTGAAATCTAAACAATCGAATGGACTGTGTTACACTTTATGTAACTTTCTAAACATTCCTAGCGTGTAATTAAAGTATTTATGTCAGATGTTACGTTGTAAGTGAAACCAGCCATGAATATGAACAAAGGTGTAAAAACTGTAACGTTTATGTTACTTTCATGTAACCTTGTATTAATGAAACCGTGCATATATATGTACAGTAAAGTTTAATTTTAATCTTAGAGAGATGTGTTTATTTATTCATTCGTAAAAGGTTATTCTTAATTTCAAGTGAAATCATTTTAGATGACCGCTGATGAATAATAGCACAACGTGTAAATACATTTGTAATTTTGTGCATTGTAAACGCTAAAATGAATAAATAAAATTTATTTACTAAATCACTGTACATAGTTGGAAGTGTTTTCATTTATTACAAATGATTTATTAACATGCCCGTCATTGTTTTTTTTTGTTTTTTTATTAAAGTGTTTTTGTTATTTGTCTATCGAATTATAAACTTACTATTGTAAGAGGATATTGTAAATATATATAGATGTATCCTATTATTTGTGGAACGAAGTATCTTGGAGTGTTTAACATTGTCTATTTAATTATTTATTTGTTTTACAGGAAGATCCTCTTGAACCTGCACTTAAACTTATTCCAGGTTTTTTCGGCACAGTGGTTCTGGTCAATAGTTTTTCAATATTTTACGAAGGACCTTCATGTACGTTAGCTGCAAATTGTCATCGATATTTTCATTAAAACGACAGTTGTTAAGTTTGTTGTAATAGATATTTATTTAAGTGTTGAAATTGTTTGATAATTTGTCAGTGATAAAAATAATTACTGATGTATTTCGCGGATATTTTTATATTGTGGATTGTTACTAAAATGCACTAGAGAACTTATTTGATGGTAGCTTTCTGGACATTTTACTTAAATCTAGCACGAAATGCACTTGACTGAGATAAGTTATTTAGTTTTTTCAATGCTTTTATCCATTCGAATCAAGTTTCTGTATAGTGTATCGGTTTAAAGTGTTTATATAAGTAGCGATTTCTATGCACAAAATTGAACTATACGACCGGTATATTAAGAATAATCAATTAATCTAGAATTGCTCTGACAAATATACCATTCAGGTATCTGGTAGTTTATGGTGTTGGCTCTAATGCAAGCGAAAATATTTTTAATGTTTCTTCGATATTTGTATGAAAGTCAGCAAAGTAGGTATGTTGGATGGAGTATACGAGTTAGTGTATTATAATTCTTGTCGCAGTGTTGTCAACTCACCTTAGTAAATAATTAAATATTAAAGTGAACATGAGCGTGCGGTGTTTGAAGCAAGCAGTATTGTGTTCGAGTTGTTGAGTAAAAGACCGACACTAGGATTCGGTCACATTGGGCAATAGAGTCCTAAAGGGAAAGAGACGCGCATCAATACCTTTGATAAAAAGATCAAAGTCGATTGATCATAATATCATTTTCATCTACACAAACAAATACTTGGATAAATAACAATAATATCAGTTATGTTCTTCTAAATTAAGTTTGTCAATTTTTTTCTTGAAAAAAGTTTTCTATTTACAAAACAAATTATCACTGTATTTCACTTCCTTACTTTTGTTAATTCGGATTTTACCTAAGTTGTGTTATTTTTTTCCCATTGAATTTGACAACGACTGTATTGGAATATTACAAGTAAGTTGTAAGTGTTTATCTTCCGTGATATTGACCAGCGTACTAACATCGCGGCAATAATTTATGAAAGAAGACATGGACGGAAGTTGGTCGATTCTGATATTCTTATTGTTTAACAAATAATTTAGAAACATTTTACTCTACTGAATTAAATAACCTGTATAATTTCATATAGAGGTTTGGTACATAAATTTAAAGTATTACAGTTAGATTGTTCCTTTTTATTTATCTCTTGGTTTATGTGTTCAATCCTACTCAATATGTGGATTGATGTGTATGTTGGTATTTGATAAATTTTCCAGGTTCTATTTCTATATAAGCTTGAATAACCGATAGTGTGAATTTGTGATTGATACCAAATTTAAAATGACAAGAGTGTTTATACTACTATGGTGTTGATAAAAATCATAAGTACACATGGTATACGTGAAGTCCATTAGAATGTATACAATAAACATGGTATGATGATTTTACCATTTCAATCAACTTCATTTAATATAAATATCCTATATTTCTCATAATAATTGTATATTTCCGTCTAGATTACTACAATAACTGCTTCTCTTATATATAATAATTAAATTGTTATTGAAAATATGTTGATATTTGAAATAATTATGGATGTAATTAATTACTTTATATTTTTGTGTATTTTTTCCAGTCTCCAATCTACTTACATTTGTATGAACAGTCGATTATCAACTAACCCTTTCTGAACTACACATACACATGCTTGTGTTTTTCCTCTTTTGTAGTGCTGAAATTCGATAGGATACCCCTTTATGGAATATTTATAATTAGCTGTGGTTTAGGTATTATCACTGTTCTACTTGTGAAGTTTGTTTGGGTACCTTTGGTTCGTCGACATATTTTAAGTAAGTCGTTACTCTAGTAATCTGATGTATTCTATTGCGACTGTAAGATTTAGCTTGCCGTAAATGGACAGAGAGTAGACTGTGTTGAATTATGCAATTATATATTCCAGTCACCAAATGTGATTCGTGTGCTTTGATTATGGTGAGATTGTGAATGCATACCACTGAAGATTCAAGGTTTATGTGAAATGTCCCTGTATTAACCTCTGAGTTTTCGGCACCTGTATCAACGAAATAACTTTATGCTAAAGGTTTTCTCCTGATGTTTGATAATCGCTTAAGCCTTTTGATGCTCGTTAAACAATAATCACTGATTTTTCTTGTTGAGCAATTGAACTAGCCAGACAGGACAGTTTATTTATAATCTATGTGACCTCATAATCACTAACGTCATAAACGGATGAGCAGACGAATCAAAGGAAGCTGAATTTCATCTGACGTCACACATTTCAAATAAGTGATTGTTTGTTGTGTCAAAGAGATAAAGAAAGGATTAAGTGACAAATACCACACTTTATTTGTCGCAACGTGCGGTGTCCGTGACTTGATACTGACACCATAGTCTTTCCATATGCGAACTCGACTACTCAAGAGAAAATATGGGTAGTAAGAATGTAAGTTGATTTGGTGAAATCGACTCATATGCATGTGCACTTATGTGTATATTCCATAGGTAATGAGGTGTACCAAAAGGTTTGTGTGTGATCCTTTGAAAACGAAAGCATTTATCGGCCAGTCACAACTACTTATGATTTGAGGATTTCCGATTGACCCGTTGTAACAGTATTTTCCAAATAACTATTTTGTTTAAAACTGATTAGTTACAGAATATACTCACTGCTACTGACTGAATAAGTTAAGCACTACATTGAGAAGCTAATAACCAGAATAAATATGAATCTCTATCATCAAATGGGATTTTTTTCAGAAAAGTAATTAAACTTCTCTTTTCTTGACCAGTTAATTTCGTGGACAAAATATAAATGTAAAACGTAACCACTTATATTGTGAGGTTATTGTTTTTCTTACTCAATTCGTCTATCTTTGAACATTTAACGTTTATCTTTGTCGATTATGGAAACTGTGATTTTATTTTTTACGATAAAGATTGAAGGGTCCTAGTGAGAAAACTGGAGAATCTCCCGTAGGTTTTGTGTATCTTGGATTATCACTGATAAATCTGATGACTTAGAATAGTTCAGCGATATAACTGTCCATCTTTCTGGATTAGATTATATCACTGACTATTGATTGAGGCCAGCTAAATCATGTGATCATTGTGAATAAGCATTTCACTGAATGCTTGTTTTTCTGGAGAAGAGTAACAGAAATATGAGATGCTATACTACATGTGGGTATTAGGTCGTATGGTAACTGAGAAATTAAGGTGATATTCAAACTAGGAAATAGTTAAATAGATGTAAATACAGTGCAGAACAATCCTGTACAAATGTTTAAATACGTTTCGAAGGAGAAACGTAATTATCGCAGATTAAGATCAAATGAACTTAACTGTTGGTCAAAGAGTTTACTTTGAGATTAAAATCACAGATATTATCATCTGTTTGCCTGCGTTCAGCTGACAACAATTCATATAAGGAATGACTTCTTATTGTTATAACTTGTGAACCTGTATGCCCTGTCTATTGTATAACGCCACGATACCGCCAATCAGAGAGCAGCGAATTATCGACCGAACCAGTGACGCATAAAACACGTGCGAGCAGCCTAGAGTCCTGATTGGTCCTGCTTTATGCCTGGCCCAGCCAGTTGAGTCCAGAACACCAATCTCAGCCTCTGCAATACGAATAATTTATTTCAAGCATACTGGGTTTATATATCAATCAGACAGACCACATGTACCATAAAACATGAAAGAATATTTGTACAAGAATTAGCCAAATGTGGCTGTGAGTGAGAGAGATAGTAATTGATAGACTGAGCATAACTGAAGAATGGTAAATCGTATAATAATAGTTCATAGGTCAAAATAAAACTCATAATAAGGGGGACATGAATATGAAAAATTTAGTTACATAACAATTATACGATAAAAATATACTCATAGTATTGGTCCATAAATGGATCCCAAAAATTACCATTCATTATTCTTATCGGGACATAACACGTACAGATTTATTATTATATAATCCGATCTATAAATGTGTATACGTTTAAGAGGTCTTCTCGAATTAATAATTAAGATATTTCGGAAGTGAGAATGAATTAAACAGCTTTATAACTTCATGTTTCATTTTCAGTGTTATGACTTTAAATTCTTACAGAACTGTGTTTTAATTTTACAAAAATGAAACCTGACTAATACACGGTAATAATGAACCTGTTTCGATTTTTCTTTAATGTGTGATAAATGAAGTAAAATGTAATTGTGTTTCATTGACGCTATAGATTCGCTTACAACAACTTACAGATTGTACGTAATTTTTACATTGACTAAAATATTCGGCTAATTCGGTGTTCATGCATTTTTATAGCTGGAGAATCGAGTAGACATATTTTAAAAGGCTATTGTTCCCGTAAGAGCAAAAAGAAATTGTCTGTCGTTGTAGACGATAAGTATCAATCTGTTAAGGATAATAAATCTTCCAAACTTTCAAGCAGTAATCATGAATCGATTGATATGGATACGTATATACCTCGTGCAGAGGGAGAGGCTGTGGTTGGATTTCGAAACAATGTTGCCAGAGGAAATACAGATGACAAAGACAAACTTGGACGAGTTACTAATGAAAATAATGGTGTATTGCAGGGATTAGAAAATCAAAATAAAGTTTCAATTCGTAAGTTTTGTTTTGTAAAATAAAGCCTCACTTGCGTTATCCCCAAGGTTACATTGACACGAAATTCGTAATCATTTTCATGGTTAAAATCTCATGGAGATTAGATGCAGATTTATAGTTATATATACTTTTTAAAGCACAATTTGGTGACAGTAATTTATTATGATTATTCTCATGAATTTGGATAAAAGCAGGCTGTTAGTTAAAACAGAAATATGTGGATATAGTATTTCATGGACTCTATTCATTTACGATTGTGTTGAGATATAAGATTAGTCATAGCACACAAACAAAGAGCTGAAATGGGATGTTATGATTGATGTTTTCTATAGATACATGTTGGAAAGCCCACCTGAAGATCAGCATAGAAAAATACGAAGAAAGAAGCTTGCTAAGGTGAGCTGTGTGACAGTTGTACGAAACCCAAAAGGATTTACATAAGTTTGAATAATTGGGTTAGTGGGAATCACTCAATAATTGTAAAAGTATGTTTTGGAGTGTATGGAATAATAAGTAACTTTCTAAAGATCGCCTAAATGATCATAATTATAATATCAACGGAAACTAAAGTATTATTGAGTGGGTTTTATGGTGATTGGTTTAATTTAAAGGTGGCATTCGTCTCAGTTTGACCTCAGTCGGTATACCATTAGTGACCAGGGGGGGTTGGGTACTGAACGTTAGTTTAATCGTAGTATGGGGCTCCACGACTATGCTCACTTACACTTATATATCCATATTTGAATGCTTTCTAAATATCGTCATTCCTCTTTGTTAAGTATATATGGCGAACTCTCAACTTCGATTCACAGTTCCAGTACAGGCGTGAATCGTCTACGTATGCTGATAGTGGTTGGTTGATTAGACCATATCTGATATAAATAAGCTGCAGTCTACTTTGTCACATTTACAGGATGAAAGAAAATGAAGTATTTTCCTGTAGATTAAACTTGTTTAAAAATAGTGACATTTGCATTGTAAGTGTAAACTACATTTCTCAAACGTGTAAATAGTTAATTTTAAGAAAATGCGATTACTTAACATGAATGAGAGCAAGTTCTGTGAAATTCAAACGTCTAAGTAAAAGTGTTTCAACATCATTAAAAGAAAATAAGCTGACTGTTCACCCTATGTACTGTTTCTCTAAGTGTTACGTAATCGGTATAAAATTTCAATGTCAGTTGTTAATAAAAAAGGATTAGTTACACACTGTTCACTTCATCGATGAAGAAATCTGTTTCTACAAAATGTAGACATAATTTAGAACACTTGCTCTTTAGTAGAACACTTTATGAATACGTCAATTTTATTGTATATATTTCTGTCAAAATGTTTTTTTCACATTATTTCTTGTGAGTAACACCGGTTATTATTATTAGTAGTATGAACTCTGAAATTGTATAGAAGTGGGCACTGTTTATTAGAATAATGATACATTAAAATTAATTATTAACTTTACTGTGTACTTCTAATGATTTAACTCGTTAATTTACTTATGAGTAATAGGAATATAGTGAAGAAAATGTTTATTCTCTATAGAATGTTGTTAGGAATGATTACATAGAAACGGTTAAACTATGTGTGATAAGTGGCTTCATTTTATTTAGAGTAAAGTGAAGTGACCTCATGTGAAATCGTTATCAGTTTATCACTTGTTTTATAGAACATATATTTCAGTGAAATTAAGCGTTGCTAAGTTTTATTTGGCCTGATTTATATACTGACACACAGTTGGCTTCTCAAGAAATCAAGATAATTTCATAGTGTAAATGAAATAATAAATTTTTTCCATGATTATATCCAAAGTGAGATCTTTATATTATTATTATTATTGTTATTATTATTATTATTATTATTATTATTATTATTATTATTATTTTTACTAAGACTACACTGAACCTAGTAAACGTTAATGGATCAATGTATATAAATGTAAACAACCCGTTTTTAGTGCTATTTGATTTGGTTATACGTTGCAATGATTGACATGAATTTACTTGTTTTGGTAAACCTAAATCTTCCCAAACTTAATCATGTCGCATCATTTTTATTCTAAGTTTATTCTTACTTGTATGAGATTTTTATATCTGCTCCCTTCTTTTTACATTTCTTTCATATGTTCCATAGATTTCGAAGTGAAACCAAGTAATCCAGATGAAACAGTTTATAAAAGAAGTCAGTTAAATAAGGTTTTGGATTATTCACCAAATGATCAAAATGCCATCACGGATGGTAGTCATAATTTAACTAATGGTAAAATGAATGTATCATTTCCTCCTAACCTGTCTACAATTGGTGAAGTGAGTATTGTGATTTAGTATTTATCTCCCTTTACTACTGTATCTTTTGGGATATACATATACCTTAATTAAATTACTAGATAGTGTTGAATGGTTACTGTATATCAACCAATAAGAGGAAAGTGAATATGCATAGTTTAGTTACTTAACAATTATACAATAGAAATGTATGTATAGTGTTAATCCATGAATGGATCCCAGCAGTTAGCATTCACTATTCTCATTGAGACATATCAGGAGGCTAGCACAAATGAACATCCAACCAGGTTGGTACATTAAATCAGTCAGTGGTTTCGATCGTTGCACAGAGCCCTACAAGGTTGTATTCCAGTGTCCGTAAATGGACTCCATTATGATTGAACGACACTGATCCTGGTGACATGTATATCCTACTTGACTTCATATATACTCTGTCGACTAAACGCTTTAATACCACATAGTCATGAAAATGCAGACAGGAGAAGCTGAAAAAGTTTATTCGGTGAACAATGAATGACTTCAACCTTATATAAAGTGAATAATACATGAATTACAGATGACCAATTAAAGCAGAGACAACAGACACGCATATGGCAAGTACACATAAAACTGTTTGAAGTTAACCGTAAATAATCAACAAGTGCATATATACGAAAACAACAAATGAATACACTGTGATCGGTAATGTTAAATTTAAATATGCACAGGTCAGTTTATGGTCACCTAACAGTTTATAGAAGTCTATCGTACTAATTCATGATATAGCTGAAAGTTTGATTATGTTTATGACTCAAGTTTATATGGGTCACTCCATCATACAGTGAAAGATACATGATGTGCTGCAAGGTAACTTGTGGTTATTAGATTCGTTTTTTATTACATATCTTCCTCCTTGTTTAAATACCATTTATATTATATTGCAAATAATCCTAAATTCACATGCTATAATTTTTAAACGATGTATTTTTTCCCAAACCTTGCCACCTTTTGGATTATTAATTTTTATATTCTTTGTTCACTTATGTTTTAATATGATGGGAATTTTTCGGTATTTAGGATGAATGAAAGTCGAGAAATTTCTAACTTCAGAGATCATATTAATTAATTATGTTGCATTTGTGAATCGTTTGTTTTCCAAACTAGCGATGAACAGAGAGTGGATATTACCCTAGATACCTTGTTTTCACAGTGCAATTGAAGAGTTATGTTTTAGGTCTATTTTGTGTGGGAGTAAATGAAACCATGCTGAAAAGAAGCAGTTTGAACTATTCTACAAATAAGTATTTTGCATGATATCATTTGTTTCAACTGAATGATTAGACCAATTTTAAGCCTATATATTGTGACGTATAACACATGAAATGCATTGTTAATATTTTTGCTACATATAATCTTCACTTAATTATTACTAATTCTTCTGGATATAGGAACCAGATCCTATCGATTCAGTTAAAGATCGTCCTGCTGAAGCTCAAGTTTTCTCTTCTTTACAAATTTTAACAGCTGTTTTTGGATCATTTGCTCATGGTGGTAATGATGTAAGGTATGGATATTTAACATATTTTTTCAATAAATCAAACTGTGTATATAAGAAAAATTCACTTATATTACTACCATTGAAGTATATTCAATAATCAGAACTTAAGATTATTTATAATTGATATAAAAAATGAGTTGAATCTCCACGATGGAATATTAGCATTCATAAACTGAATAGAGTTTCAAGAAATGGTGTAACACGTTACAGTCTGTTCATTTTATACTTATTTGGTAGTTGTTTACGAAATGAAATCAGTTGACGCTATTTTAGGAGATGAAATATAAAATCTAGAAAATTCTAGATATTACAAAGATAATATCTATCATGAGACCAGTTTAGAAAGCTTGATTTTTCACAATGGTTAAATTATTCCTAGTTATCATTTGACAGTTACTCTCTTCCATTTATTCAGTGTTAACACTTTGTTTCTACTGTGTAGGATTATCAGAAAAAGATTGCTGGAAAAGAATAATTGAAATGATTGAACATGTCCTATTTGTTCATTCTCACATCACTTGTAGCTATCTGTCATTGCAAAGTTATTCAATAGTAACTAATTTATTCAACTGATAACAAATACGTCTGGACGTCATAAACACTTACTATTAAAGATATTGATGATAGAATTTAAAGCTCTTAATATTGCTTTCTGTTAGGAATTCTATCTTTTTTGAAATAGATATAATACAGTGAAATATTTCTTTAGTAAATAAAACATTATTCATGATTTGTAAAGTTTAATCATGTTGCTAATCAGAACAGTTTACATTTTGAGAAGATAGTGGAGAATATCTGTGATGATGTTCATTCTGATATCCATTGTTATTATTATTATTAAGCAATAATCGTCTGCAATTTCTGAAAACGAAAGAGGATTTTTATAATCTCTGTTTGACACTGGTATATAGTTTTAACAAAAAATCGAAGAGGTTATTTAGGTACTTGATAATGCTCTGTGTTTTTGTTTGAAGAAACCTAATTTAATTTCAGCATTGTTCGTGTTACGTCTTTGATCTGTCTACCGAATAATATACGGGTGAGAACATGCCTCGATGTAGATTAAGACCTTGACACGAGAGGCTAACTGGTTTTATCTTGAGGCTAGAAATGTATGAGTCCAAATTAAAACTAACAGCCTTGAGCAGAGGGACGAAAACCGTCTTATGACGTGATTGGTGGACAAGCGAGAGAGAAAACGAGTCAATCGGAATAAGAGACTTTATGGAAATGGCCGGCTTCTACTCGAGAACAACTGTATTTTCTCCACGAATGTCTTCGTGATATGTCTTGTTGTTGGAATGCTACTTTTTGTATCTGGTCGTCGCTGATTGTTGTGTTGGAAACACCTATCAGTTATACGCGAAACGAGAGACCTCTGCAATTCCCACGACGCGAATGTAAAAACACAATACTGGTATAAGTGATGATTTATTAACCCCCGAAACACGACGACGACCCTAGTCGAAAATACACTCACATTTATATATTAATTTTACACACACTATGAATAATAATTAGGATGAAAGCATATATATATATACTCATTTATAACAAATCAGATACTGAGCATATTTCATGTCAATTGAATACAAGAATATCGTATATTATACATAATAAAATATCATACGAGAAAACAAAACAAAACAAATACTACCCTGAATAATCATCACGTTGAGTCAAAATGGAAGTAACGTTGAACAGAACTCATAATGAGTAAACTAATCAGATTTCGACTTTTCTTCCTGTCATATAGCTTCGTCCAGCTCAGAACACAAAGCCCCTTCAGGAACACTACTCGATTTATTTCCGATCCCCACGTCCCAATGCAAATCAATGTAAAAAACGGTGTGGTAGTGAATCATACATCAAACGAAAGCTCATGGTTCATAGAGTAGGCTAGAGACAAAACTAAATGTTAGTATTTTACAAAGTTTGAATTAACCGAAATAACGTCTCCATAAATGGCTTCCGTTGTCTGTCATGGTTTCGTTGTTTTTCTTTTCACGTTCGATCAGAACTGTAATTTCTTTTATCCTTTAGGAGATCACAGTAATCCTGAACGTTTGCACATCTTTTTACATAAAATGAATGACATGTATGGATGTCCTTCTTTTTCATACACCATTTGTAATATCACATTTTTAAACGAGAAAGCATATTCAATAGGAACTATGCTTCTTAGAATTGGAATGTGGAATACGTAAGTGTCTAAGGCTTTCTTAAATGAAATGAGATACTTGTACGTTAGATTTGAATTACGGATCTTTTATGAATTACTGGTATATCAAAGTATAAATCCGCTTTAGGCTAAACTAACATAAATTTTATATGCTGTCACCCATTCGGTTATTTAAAGATACCGTGGTGAACATTCGCTTCATACAAAGTTTTCATGAGGAAGAATGGTAGTCATAATCATTTTCAGACTACTCATTCAAAACAATAGTAGTGGTAAACTTGTTTCACTGCTAACCCATTATAAAACATGAAGTCCATGTTTAAACAATTCACTTAACGTGTAAGTTTTTTATGAATTATTTTTTATGCAGTAATGCTATCGGGCCGTTGATTGGTTTATGGCTTATTGCCACAACACAATCAGTTGACTCATCGAAAACTACAGATATTTGGATTTTGGTTTATGGTGGTGTTGGTATATCAGTTGGTCTTTGGATATGGGGTAGACGAGTTATTCAAACATTAGGTGAAGATCTGACGAAAATATCACCTTCCAGGTAAGTTGGTGATGTTTTTGCGCAGAAATATGTTTATTGTAGATATTCTGTGTGTTAAATACCATCTTTCAATCAATTTGAATAGTTTTGGTTGTAATTTATATTTCATTTTTCATATTTATTCGAATGTTTCTATTTGCTTGATCTGTGAAATCGTTTTTCACAACTGACACTTTATTTTAGATCATAAGATTCATTCTCTGATGGAACAACAGTAAGTAAAAACATGAATTTAAAGAAGAATGTTGGATCACTGTGGTGGTGGGATGTAGTCGACAAGAACTTTTCTTCAGTAATCGACATCTTATTTGATTCTGACAGTGCACATTAAAGTGGCTTTTTAGTGTCATCTTTTTTAAAGTGTACTTTGTGTCCACTGTGAGAGTCATCTGATGGGATGCAAAGAAAGTGAAATTATAACGAGTGTTTAGTATTTTTTAGTTTTTTGGTATGCAATACTCAATAACTTACAATACTTTTCAGCTAGTCACTTAGTTAATATTCAGCGATCAAGACGTGGAGACAGTTGTGTCCCTTTTCTTCTGTTCCTTTTTTTGAAGGAATTTATGGGGATCGTTAAATGTTCATAGCTTACATCACGGGTTGATTTTACTTAAGCAACCGGTATGGGACTGCTCGTTAATGAGCATCCTTAACCCCACTGAGGATCAAGTTTAAGAACTTAATTTCTTGAGATGAGCACTTAACCTTCAGACCACTGAGCTTGCATCTAATGGTTTACACCAACTGCAATCAATTAGCGATGTTGTGCAACCACAATCCATTTCCTGTGATGGGTAACCGTCTCACACTTGACTGGTCACGCCTTCTCATTGGAACTCCTGGAAATTTGTCACTATTGAACACAACTATTATTGGTACGGTGTTTGTAGAAATAGTTGGATTGGTTTCGTTTATATACACTATATGTAGGTCGGGCGTAAGTGTATGAAAATGGCAGTTCAAGAAAACTCACTAATTCATTACTATACGTTTTCACTGAATTGTTTATTTCTATTATTAACAAGATAAGTATCATTATTCTTTTATTTTGTTATCAGTGGTGTTTGTATTGAAATTGGTTCAGCCCTAACTGTATTAATTGCTAGTAAAATTGGTCTGCCAATATCAACTACACATTGTAAAGTTGGTTCAGTCGTATTTGTTGGACGTGCACGTTCTAGAGACAATGTTAATTGGGGTATATTTCGTAATATTCTAGCTGCATGGTTGGTAACTTTACCGGCTGCTGGTGCTATCTCTGCTTTACTCATGTATATATTTACATTTGTAGTATGAATTTAGTTTATTATTATTATTATATTATTATTATTATTAATAAATATTTTATGATTAAAAAATCTGTTTTTATAAGTAAAGAGAACGAACAGAATAAACTAAATCTCACAAATCATTAATGTAACTTCTTGTTTGTATCCTCATTCATTTTGAGCGAACTGATTGATTTTTTTCTGCTCACTTCTTCATTTACTTACTAGATTTCTATTGTTTTTGTTTTTTTTTCGTTCAACACATCCGCTTGTAAACACATATGCACATACACAGAATAGAAAAACATTTACTTTTCTCCCTCGTTATCATTACCATTATTATGAACTGATCTCGTATTAATTAGATAAATGTTCTTATTAGTACAAGTGGTGATGGTTTATTTAGTTGATGTTCTGTTTAAAAATAAAAGTTCCCTTAATCTCTCACCATCTTTATTACGTTCAACGTCTGTTGAAATAGTTACCCTGTTCACCAGTTAACACTGTACACAGTTTACTCACATACATACACATAAACAGAGACAAGGAATAGTAAAAAGAAAACAGATTTGTAGCAACATCCTTTTGAATTGTAACATAAAACATTATTGTTTCCTTGTAATTTTGTTTTTATCAACTAATATTAGTGAAAAAAGGTTTTATTTTTCTAGTTACTACTTCCTTGATAAGTTGTTTGTTTGATGAGCAGTTATTATTAATTTATGATGTGATTCAATTAATTAATTAAGAGAACCTTTGAAAAATGTTTGTTCGGTTGTTTTTTTCCCATGTTTCTTTATTAATCATATAAACTATAGGATAGATAAATTGAACTAATGATATCACTTTTTGTAAGAAATAAATCTTGGATTTGTTTCGATCAATGATGAAACGACGTTAATACATAGTAAAATGGTATTGCATTCACTTTGGACACCATTATTTACAGTGGTGTTATTTTTTCTGAGCTGGATGGTTTGTTGTAGGGTCTTTTTTATTGTCGTCGTTGTCTGCATCATGTAGAATATTCTGATGGAGATTTTCAAACAATGATAAATGCTTTGCAATTAAATCATCCATTTGATGAAAGTACATAACACTACCAAATGGATTGCTAGGAGCTGCAAACGTTCTCCATTATTTCTTTCATATTGTATCCTAAAGCCTTACTAGTTTAGCATTAAGAGTATTGTTCGTTCAACAACAAAAACACGTATTGTAGTGCTTTAGGGTCACTCCGATTTCTGACGCTTAACTATGTTGATCCATTCTCTTAGTTTTTCTTTTCGCTTATCTTTCTGACCCTAACCATTCCTTTTAAAACGTCCTTAGGTTGGTTATTCATCAAAGTAGACATAAGCAAATCCAAACCAGATTCTTTATCAATTAGTTCTGAGACGAGTTTCTGAACTCTGTTATCGGATTCGTAGCGACTCTCACCTTTGTAAAAGGAACATGTGATGACTTGTAATCTAGATATGTTTCGGAATATGTTTGATTTTGGAATATAACAATGTTTAAACAACCATCACTCTTCCTCACAAGCAAACAGTCAAGAAATGGCAGTTTGCGATCAGTGGATCCGATTTCTGTAGTGTACTTGGTGTTATCAGATATACTGCTGCCGTTTTTAGAAAATTCGTCTCAATCTCATTCGTAATGATAAATCGGTTATCTATATATCTCAACGAGATTGTAGGTGATTGGGGACAATTTGAGATTTCTGTCGTTTCCAATCAATGAACAAACAGGTTAGCCATATTTGCGGCTATCGGTGATCTCGCAACCAACAGTCGACCTTATTAATTGAAGCCACATCTTAGTTTGACTGCCTCTAGCTAGTAAAATTATTTAGTAAGTCGTATCTGGCAAAGCAGAGCATATAAGTTTTACAAGATTTTTCTCGACACATAAATTAGGGTCATCGACATTGAATCCGATAGGGAAAAGACCATGTATACTATGTATCGCTCCAAATAATTTGGTTTTATCTATCGCATAACCACTGTCAAGCAGGTGCGCCAAGATAGAGTTGTGTATTGTCTTTGTCTGAGCATTCCCTAACCACGAAGAGAAGCTCATTTGTACTGATAGTTTTAATTTCTCCCCCAGATGTTAAGAAGTGCAATTGATCGGTGCTCCACGGCATATGTGTATCCCAGTGAGTGAAAATCAACTCTCGGATGCAGGTATATCCAGTTGATGAGTCCCAAATAGAGTGAAATGCACGTCCTCGATTCCACTGCTAGCCACCATCCATCTTTGCTTACAGACAGAGAGATGCTTACTCAATGGCTGATTGAATTTCTTGGTAGTACACTCAACGAATGCAAGTAATTTTACAGTTTTTGGGTCTATAGAACTAAACTACAAATAAGGGTAAAGTCATTGCATGTTTTGCCTGCATCGTTATGTGGTGGTTTAGCTTTAAGAAAATTTGAGAAATGTTTAGAAATAAGTGAAGATATTTCATAGTATTATGGTTATGGATTGTTCACATTTCTTGGATAATTAAATCAAACATCCATTTGAACTGCTGTACCATACTAATCCAATGTCAGTAGTTCTCATGAATTCAATTACTCAATTACGTACTTTTGTTCTAGCTTAAATGAAAAAGATATAGTCGTGGGAATGTATTGACTGTTTATTGGTGTGACCAATTTATGTGCCTATGACTGACAGATTTCAATGCTCTGCTCCCTGACTCGGAGGAATACGGAAACACCTGAATAACTAGACTCACTTCTACAACTCGGGATATTCTTTTGTATTTATATCAGTATATTTACCTTCATTGTCTGTTTTAACTCTGATGAACAATCTTTGTTATCCTATTTCAATATTTATCGGATTCTGCTTATTATTTGGGAACTTATACAACGATGCACAATCAGCTTATAGTGTCGACCGACCGGTTAAATTATGAGGAAATTATGGATGAAATCAACTAAGTAACCTTTCTTTTGAAAACTTTACATAATCGCGAACCATTTTAATGAAGCTGGAACGTCATTACAGAGATAATTTAATTGTTTATAAGGGAATATGCATGGCATTTGTGACAAGGTCTTAATTATGAAGAAAAAAACATTTGATTAACAGCTTATTGACAATTACTTAGTGTTAATGATTTAAAAGTAAAGAGAATTCAGCGAAGATAATTTTGTTTTCGACGAAATTATTTATTCAAATTGTACATTCGTATTTATAGTTTTGTGGTAAATACATGTCTATAGAGGGATTAAAAAGGTTGCATCATAAATCTTATTTATTAATTTATTAGTTATTTGAACACATAAACATTGGTACAAATGGACAGCAAATACATATGCGCCACACAGTAGCTGTGAGAATTTTGAAGAGATAGGGAATTAAAAGTGCGCATAGGAAAAAGGAGAACTATAACGGACTAAAATTTGTGTACGATAGTGAAGTAATAATGGGAGAGGCAGTTCAGTTAGCAAAGGTATGTAGCGACTCACATTTATCACGAGAACACGACTGGTTTAATAGAAACGGTGTTCATAGTTAGTCTCGACTCGACGCCACACTACTGGTACAACCAGAATGAATTTTTTTCAGTTAATGAAGTTACGCTCATATTTTATGAAGAAAGTAAAAGAAAGTTACATCAGGATCACCACTGGCTTCTATCCTGCATCATATCTGATAACGTCATAAGCCACTGTGTTGCACCATCTCTAGGACCCCAACCAGGGAGTCGTGAACGACCAGCGGGAGCCAGTCATGTACAGCGTTCTTGATGACACGGAACCTTCTACTACACTGATCACCTCTCCACTTCTTGTAACCAGTCTCAGCACCGGAAAATAATACACGATGTAGAATTCTCTGGGACGACATTAATAGAAAATGTCCAAGCCAACAAAGTAGGAGTTTACAGATAGTGACACCAACTGAATTATCGTCTCTGTGCCCGAACACATAATGTCGAACCTCTGCATTACTAACATGGTGGTGCCACAGGATGTCAGCAATCTTGCGGATACGACGATGATCAAATACAGAGAGTCATCTAGCATCCTAAACTCAGAGAGGCCAGGATTCACAAACATTAAGTAAAACTGCTCTCACCAATGAATGATAGACCCAACATTTTACAGCCAAACTAACATCGCGAAGGCGCCAATGATGGCCGAGATCGGCATAAGCCACTCTGGCTTTCACTATACATGAATTGATCTCATAACTCACGCCACCACCATCACTTACGTAGCCACCCAGATACGCGAACTTCATGACTACTTCTATTTGCTCACTACTCAGACTTAGTGCAGGTTCATAGTCCTTCCAGTGCTTACTGCATGACTTGAGCATTATGGGGCAGTATGACAATACCATCGCACACTCACCACCACCATTACTACATCCATCAGAACCATTTCCAGAACGTCATCGATAGCAATGTTGAGGAGCAATGATGAGTTTGTGCAACCCTGCCTAACCCCACTGCGTGAATAAAGCAATGGAGAGACGTGGTTATGTTCCTTCATTCTGTCCGAAGTGTTTGTATATAGGGTTTTTCAAGTTGTTAATAATTTTCTCAGACACATCCTTCTTCAACAGAATCCCAGATAACAATAATGTCCAATGAATCGAGTGAGTTGTAAGGAGCCTGCAGTATCTGGATGCTTATAAACGGGGCTTTTCGCGAAGCGGCAAGCGACTTTCCTCGCCATTTTCATAGCATTATGGAATAACAGCCAATGCTCATCTATACTTTTCGATGGGTTGATAGCTAGTCCTGAACCTAGCTTGGTTTGATATTTCGTTGCAACAGAAGCTGCAACTAATTTCCTGACATCGATCTATTTATTTATTTGTTTATTTAAACACATAGAATTGATACAAGAAGGTACCAAACAGATATGTGCCACAAGAACCACTCGATTTGTGTGAGGGACGGGATACTGCGCGGGAGCCCAAACCGAAGCAGAGGGCCACACTCCGAGTCTTTGACCTAGAGGTCTAATCCACAAGGCAGTGGAGCAACATCAGGAGATGCAGTCCCATGGTAATCGGTGACCAACAATAAATTCATGCGTCATTTGTTCCCTTAGGATACTGGAGCCCATGTGCATCATAGGTTTGAAATAAGAGCTCTTCAACTCCC